TATGTATGTATGTATGTATGTATACTTTTTTCAAGGGGGGTTGTATTATACGATTTTTATTTTTTGCTCTGGGAAGCAAACGCAAATTTCATTGTATTTAGGTGCAATGACAGTAAAGATCTATTCTATTTTAGATGTTGTGTGGTTTACCTCATGGAGAGCCAGGGAGTGTCCGTATCTGTGGAGAGGAGCGCTGCTGATGGGAACCACGTCCCACGTGCTGCTGTCCAGATTGTAGCTGCACACAAAGACAAAACTTCTTCACTGAAAGTTTTACACTCTCTGCATCTTACCGGTGAGTCAAAGTGATGCAGCCTACTTCAGCACCATGTGGTAGTTGGAGTAGTTGAAGGAGTAGCCCCCCACCACCCACATGAGTCCAGAATGCACCAGAGCTCCATGAGAGGCCCGGCCCAGAGACTGGGCTGACGGTTTGATGCTGAGGAGCGTCCAGAAGGCATCGGTGGAGGGAACAGGAAGAGTGCAGTCTGGACCTGAGGCAGAGGGAGCAGCAAAAAGTTCAGCCATAACGCTGGTATTATTATTACAGGTCCCCCTTGTAAACGAGTCCCCGGGGCTCAATGACACTAACCTGTATAAATAAAGGTTGAATTGAATTATGGAATGTAGTTGTAAAGAGTGGAAGTTGGAACAAAACTCTGAGTTTAACCAAACCTTTTAAAGTCCTGAGATGCTTATTAAGAAAAAGCTATAATGTAAAGCTAAAAACAGCCGAACAGTAGCTAAAATCTAAAAGAAACAGAGCTCTAGCTAAAAGACAAAAGTAGCAAAGTGCTCACTAAAGTTTGAGAAACACAAGAAAAAAAAAACTATAAAAAGCAAAATACTACCTAAAAAACAGAAGTATCAAAATGGACGCAAAAAGACAAATAGCAAAATGTTAGCTAATACAAGCAGAACACTAAAATTATTAAAAGTACCAAAACAGTGGCTACAAATTTAAAGCAGCAAAAGCCTAGCTAAAAGCAGCAGAAGAGCAGCTAAACATTAAAGTGGGACAAGATGCAGCAGAATTCTAAGAAATTATTTTTGAATTAATTTTTTAAATCTTAAAGTTCTGAAATTATATGGAGAAGTTTATGTAGGTACAAATGTTGCAAAAAATAGTTAAATGTTGTTCAAAGTAAAAAAAAAAAAAAAAGAAGAATCCTTTAAAAAGTCATAGCTAATTATTTATGCTTTTAAGCTTTATAATATTTTTGATGTTTAAGTTTGTTGTAAAGAAAAAAAAAACAATTTTTTTTCATGAAGCAGAGTAAATGAGTCACATTTTTAACAAGAAATTTAAAGTTAAAATTTAATTTAATTTTTAAAATTGTTTTAAAACTTTAAGCTTTAGCTAAACATATATTTAAAAACAATTAATAAGGACACTGAACAGAAAGACTCTGCTCGTTTAAACCAGTCAAACCTAATAAAAAAGTTATATTATTTTAAATGAATTTCTCAAAATAAATAAATCAATGACAAACAAATGTGGAAATGTTAAATTTATCTCTGATCAAAAAACTAAAATCAATCAACCTTTATTTATACAGGTAAATCCCATTGAGCCTCGAGGACTCATTTACAAGAGAGACCTGATTTCAACAAAGAAAGATGACAACAATGGACAACAGCAACAACAATAAACAATTATAAAAAAGCATACTACAGTTTTTTTTTTTTTTTTTTTTAACAAATAGGATGGCTAAAAGGAAAAGGTAACAAAACAAAAAACAGCTAGATTCCAAGACAAATGTAGAAAACTAAAAACAGGAACATGTCAGCATTGGTCCCTGCCAGAAGTCCAACAGATTCTTAAAGACACTTAGAGAGGTCAAGGTCGAGAGCTTCAAAAATCTTTTTGTAAGATATTCCAGGAAACAGGAGCGGAATAGGAGAAGGCCCTTTTGCCTAGTTCAGTCCTCATTGAGGGAACACTGCAGGTAATAATGTCCTGAGAGCGCACGCTGTAGCTGCACTCACGCAGAGACAAGTAGGAGGAGATGTATGAAGGCAGCAGACCAAGAAGTGATTTAAAAATGAAAATGCACCAGTGAGAGAGTCTGCGTGAAGTTAATAATGTCCAGTTAACCAGTGAATACAGTGTGCAGTGGTGGGTATGATAACCACAGCCAGTTATGAATCTTAGTGCACCATGATAGACAGCATCCAACATCTGCAGGGTTCTTGTAGGAGCATTCATATAAATAATGTCACCATAATCAATGGAGGGAAGGAAAGTCACAGATACAAGGCATTTCCTAGCATTCAGGGTTAGACAGGATTTGTTTGTGAAAAAGAAACCCAGTTTAACTTTCAGTTTCTTTATCAAGTTTTCCACATGGAGCTTAAAAGAGAGATGTGAGTCGACCAAGATACCCAAATATTTATAGGAATCAACAAACTCAATGGGGACACCATTTGAGGATGAGATCGGAGGAAGAACTGCTGGGACCAACTTCCTATTTGAAAAAAGCATCCCTTTGCCTTAGCAACAGTTTTAGCTCGACAATAAACAACTGTGTCATCAGCATAGAAATGTATGGATGCATTAGGGATGTTTTTACCTACATTATGTATGTAGATTGTAAAGAGGGTGGGTCCTAAGACTGAGCCTTGTGGTACACCATTGTTAACTGTTAAATAACTGGAGGAAGTACCATTATGTTGAACACATTGCCTCCGGTCTGAAAGATAGTTAGAGAAACATCCAGTGGTGTGTTCTGAGAAACCGATTTCTGAGAGCTTATGACACAAGATGTTCTGATCCACAGTGTCAAAAGCTTTAGACAGGTCTAAGAAAAGTGCAGCATAATAATTCTTAGCATCCAGTGCTTCAATAACATCATTAAGAACCTTCAGTGAAGCAGTGGTTGTGCTGTGTTGTTTCCTGAAACCAGATTGATGTGGAGGTAAGATGTTAAATGAGTCCAAGTAATTTTTGATTTGAGAGTTTATCAGTTTTTCTAGAACCTTGACTAAAATGCAGAGTTTAGAGATTGGTCGATAGTTGTTCAGTGAGGTGGGGTCACCTCCCTTCAGCAAAGGAAGAACAAAGGCTGTTTTCCAAGTGTCTGGAATGGAGTTTTGGTTTATGGAGAGATTGAAGATGTGGGTCACAGGGACTGTGATGATATGAGCAGCCAGCCTTAAAAAATAAGGTGGAAGTTCATCTGGACCTGCAGATTTTTAGGATCAAGATCTTTTAACAGGTTATTAACCTCACTAACTGAGAATGGAGAAAAAGAGAAGGTGTGATTAACTGAGGATTGACTTGTAGGAGGGATTTGATTTGTACAAGTTTGGTTATTAAGTGAAGTGACTGATTTTCCATTAGTAACTGTGTCAAATAAAGAACTAGAAGCAACAAAGTGTTTGTTGAAACAGTTCAGGATCTCGTGCTTATTTGACACAGGAACAGAGATAACGAGAAGTTGTGATGGGAGGTCAGATGATTGGGGGCTGCCTGAGAGAGATTTGATGGTTTTCCAGAATCTGTTAGGGTCATTTAGATTTTTGGAGGTCTGAGATAAGAAATAGTTGCGTTTTGCTGCTTTGACAGCAGTTGTGCATTTATTCCTCATCTGTCGAAAACTCAACCAATCAGTGTCTGAGTCAGATTTTCTCGCTGCAGCCCAAAGATGATCTCTCCTGTGCAGGAGGTCAGCTAGCTCTGGAGAAAACCAGGGGCTGTCTCGCCCCTTCATTCTGAACTGACGAAAAGGAGCATGTATGTTCAAAATGCAATGATATGTGTTCGTCTAAAACCCATTCTTTTTTAATCTGTACAAACTACAAAAGAAAAGAAAAGTTATTTTTTAAAGTTTATGCAAGAAATCACTATGAATTTAACATGACCTTGTTTTAAGATTTTATTTTCATTCCATGCAGCGACCGACTGTTACCAGCAGGCAGCACTGCATCACCAATTATTTCAACTTCCCATCTGTGGAATGTCTTTTTTTATTATTATTATATTTTAATATACATTTAACTTTTTATTCCTTTTTTTAAGAGAGAGTTGTGAATCAAAGACAAAAGACAAGGTTGTTTAGGTAAACTAACAAAGGAATACACAATGTTTGTCAAAAATATAAAGAAGTCGAAGAAACTCCTGACTTTGAGCCTGAGGTTGAAAATAATGCTTCAGTTTTAAACATTTTTTGATCATGGTTTTGCAAAAATTATGAACTATGTATATGTGTGTATGTATATATATATATATATATATGTGTGTGTGTATTTTAACTTTTTTAAAACCTTTATGTAAACTGCTTTTAAGCTGTTTTTAGATTTTGCTGCAAGCGATATATAAATATATAAAACACCACTAATTATAAATTATACATAATAACTAGAGAAATTGCTTTTTCTGCAAAAATGCAGTCCATCCATCCATCCATTATCTTTACCCGCTTATTCCATTTTGGGTCACGGGGGTCGCTGGTGCCCATGTCCAGCAATCACTGTGCGAGGGGCGGGGTACACCCTGGACGGGTCGCAAGTCCATCACAGGGACACATAGAGACAAATGAGACAAACAACTATTCACTCTCTCACTCACACCTAGGGACAATTTAGAGTTACCAATCAGCCTAACATGCATGTTTTTGGACTGTGGGAGGAAACCGGAGTACCCGGAGAAAACCCACGCATGCACGGAGAGAACATGCAAACTCCACCCAGAAAGGCCCCTGGACTGGGGTTTGAACCAGGGACCTGCTTGCTGAGAGGCAGCAGCTCTACCAGTTGCGCCACCGTGCTGCCTGCGAAAATGCAGTGTGAATGCTTATTCCAGTAGAACTTGCTGAAAAACAGCAGAAATTATGTAAAACATGCTGAAATGTAGCTGAAATGGAAGAACAAGCTTACATTAGCACAATAAACTAGAAATAACACATATTTACTGATTTTGGCTTTAAAAAGCAACACAAAAATTGGGAAATTAGCTAAAGAAGATGAAATTAGCACAATTTTGCTGAAAATTAGCTGAAAGGGCAGAAAGGAAATTTAGCTATCAGAAGGAAGCAGAAAAAGCTGAAATGCGGTAAAATGGAATTATCTTAAAAAGCTAAAATTAACGTAAAAAAAGATAATAGCTGAAAAAACTAAAATTAGCATAACAGCCTAATATTAGCTGAGATCACTGAAACTAGTTGACAGATAACTGAAACTAGCAGAAATAAGCTGAAAGGAGCACATCAAGCTGAAATTATCAGAAAGAAGTTAATTAGGCTGAAAGAAGCAGAAATTACCACAAAAAACTTGAATTTATCTGAAAACAGCTGAAATTAGCTAAAAAAAATGCTAAAAGCTAGCTGAAAGGTAGAACAAACCTAAATTAGCAGAAGACAGCAGAAAGAACATGTTTGCCGAAATAGGATGAAAGAAGCAGAAATGAGTTAAAAAATGTAGAAATAATCTGAGAAAAGCTGAAATTAGCAACAACAAAAAAAAACAGCTTAAAAGTAGCTAAAAAACAGAAAGAAGCTCAAATTACCAGAAGGAAGTGAAGAAAACATATTTTTGCTGAATTGGGCTTAAAAAAGTAGAAATGAGTACAAAACATTTGAAATTAGCTGAAAATGTAAAATTAGCATAACAAGCTAAATAGTAGATGAAATAGCAGAAAAAGCTGAAATGTGCAGAATTAACCTGAAATGAGCAAAACAAGCTGAAATTAGTGAAAAGAAGTTAGACAAAGCACCAAAATGTTGTAGTTAGCAGAATAAATCAGAAAGGAGCAAAAAACAGCTGAAAGTAGCTGAAAACAAAGCTTAAAAATTTGCATAAGGATGCTGAAGTAGAACAAAAAGCGAAAGGCACAGTAAAAGGTTGTAAACAGATCTAAAGATTTGAAGGATGTAAAATGAGCTCAGTTCATTTTATATGAGGAAAAAATGGCATCAAAAGGCTAAATATTTCAAAAGTACACTTGCACCAATACCAAACGTCAGAGCAGGATTGTCCTGAAAGAGCTGAACGTTTTGATTTATGATTTGTTGAAATATCTTGAAAACTGTGGGACGAGAGTCGCGCTGAAAAACGTACAGAAGAAAAATGGATCCCAATAGTTTGAATGCTTCATAAACATTCACACAATAATGAGACAACATTTCTCAGAGTCCATTTTTTCAAAGATAAACTATTCAGACAGACGTCGTGTTTACTGGGATGAACAGGAGATCTGTGCTGTTTGTTGTTTGTGTGTCTTCTCATGCACATCATTAACGGTCAGAAGCAGAGACCCAGCAGGTCATCACCCCTGATGATGCAGATGTTTCACCTTGCCAGCTGTCGTTGCAGACGCAGAGCTTCTCTCCGGTCAGGTCGCAGTACCCGTGGTCTGGGCTGCCACAGTCCTCTCTGCAGTACGGGACGTCGCAGGCCTCTCCTTTCCAGTAGTCCTCACACTCACAGAACACCGGGCCCGCAGCAGAGTGTGCGGCGCTGCATCGGCCGTGGCCCGAGCAGTTGTTGGGGCACGAGTTGATCCTGGGGGGGGACATAATTAGGGAAAAGGATCTTCAAGGTCAGACAGACAAGTTCAGATAAGCCTTGGGATATTTTAAACAAAATGAAAACACGAGTCTTGTTACAGTCATAGAAAGGACTTTAGTGGCAGCCAGAGGGCTGAACAACTCAATCAGCTGAAGAAGCTGAAACTATGTTGGTAAAGCTAAAACAAGCAAAACACTCGCTAAAAGAAACAAAACACTATGAGACAAACGTAGCACAACTCTAGCTAAAAGCAGCAGAAGGCTAAATAGTAAATAGCTAAAAGTTAAAAGTACTGAAAAGGCATACCCATGGCTAAATATAGCAAAAACAAGCAAAAAGCTATCAAAAATAGCAAAATGCTGTCTAGGAGCTGGAAGTAGCAAACAGCTAGTGAAAAGAATAGAAAGGCAAGTTGGAAGCTAAAAAAGCAGAAAACTAATTAAAAATCAGCAAAATACTAGCTAAAAGCTACATGTAGCAGAACAACATGTAAAAAATAGCTAAATGCTTTGAGCAGAAACTTTGTTAGCTAAATGCTTTCTACATTTTTAAAGTAGCAGAATGACAATAGTAGCAAAACAGTAGCAAAAAGCTACAATAGCTCTACAAACAAGCTGCAAGTATTTCTTTTATTTCCATTGTGTTATGAATCACCTTTTGTAACTTTCGATTGTAAGATTTGGTACTTTTTGTTGTGTATTGTTATGGTTAAATAAAGTTTAAAAAAAAAAAACTAGCAAAAAAAAAAGCTGCAAGTGTCAAAAGTTGACTAAAAGTACCATACCATACCAATTTATTTATATAGCACTTTAAACAGCAACAAGGCCAACCAAAGTGCTGTACAAAAGAACCAAACATGCACAGCAGACAGGAAAACATAAAATAGAAATACAGATACAAATAGCAGCAGAAGCTAACTAAAATGGCCAACAGAGTAGAGAACAGACCGGACCAAAACAAATCACACCGTGTTAAAGGCAAGCGAATAGAAGTGGGTCTTCAAGCGAGACTTAAAGACTGAGAGTGTGGGAGCCTGCCGGACACTCAGTGGCAAGTACTTGAACAGTAGCTAAAGGAGCAGAATGGTGGTGAAATAACTATAAGACCAAAATAAAGTCAGTAAGCTGAAGCAGATTTCAAAGAACTAAATCGATCTACGTGTCTTTTTATGGGAAATATTTATAAAATAAAAGTATATTTTCTAAAAAATAGTGTAAAAAGTTAGAAAAACCAAGAGTCTGAATGTTTTACTGCATAAATGGCTAAAAAAGCAGATTGAAGAAAATAGACAGTAACAAAATGTGGGAGAAAACTTAAAAATGATCTTATGTTGTTAACTCAGCATTCAGAATATTTAATGACCTTCAACATGACCTTCTCTCGAGCAGCACTTTCAAATGTGCAGTAGTCAATGTCTGAATGAGTCCAGCTCATCAGTTTTACAGATATTAACCTCATATTTGGGGTGGTAGTAGCTGGGAGTCATCCCTGACACATACTTTGAGCCCTAAGAGCTCACACAAGAAGAAAGTTTCAAAGTTTGGCGTGGAAAAAAGAAGACGACATGTGTCAAACTCAAGGCCTGGGGGCCAAATGTGGCCCTCATTGACATCTTATCTGGCCCCCAAGATGAAATGTGAAATGTAAAATATTTCTATCTCTTTAAAGTTTTCAGTAATATTTGATTATGATATTGAAAGCACAACAGAGAACATCAAATGAGCCAATCAAACTCTTGTTGAGGAACCTGTGACCAAGAAAAGATGTTGAGTATCTGATTGGAGTTCATGTAGATTCTGAAATTGTCTCTTAGTTTGAAAAAGGTTTTAATTTTGGCCCCTTTTTGTAAGTGAGTTTGACACCCCTGCAGGTGATACGTATTCCTGCAAGAGATGCTAGCTTCATTACAGTTGTTTTGGATGCATTAGTGACGTAACACGGAGGAACAAGATCCTAAAAAACAAGAAACATCACAGGAGCTCATGGTAAACAGCTCTTTGAGACTAACTAACTAAAACTAGCATTAGTCTCTGTCAAACTGTGCTCTCTGTGGTGCGTCCACATCCAGTTTCATCTTGTTGTATGTTAAGAGGTCGGCTATGAGGCAACTACACTGGATCTACTTTGAGTTTAGGAGCCTTTACACGCTAGAATTGTTCACAAGGCCATCCATCCATTATCTTTTCTTCCTTTTTGGGACGCAGGGGTCACTGGTGCCCATGTCCAGCCATCACTGTGCAAGAGGTGGGGGACACTCTGGACAGGTCTCCAGTCCATCACTGGGACACATAGAGACAAACGAGACAAGCAATAATTCACTCTCTCACTCACATCTAGGGACAATTTAGAGTTACCAATCAGCCTAACATGCATGTTTTTGGTCTGTGGGAGGAAACCCACGCATGCACGGAGAGAACATGTAAACTCCACCCAGAAAAGCCCCTGGACCGGGATTTAAACCAGTGTAACCTGCTCGCTGAGAGGCAGCAGCTCTACCAACTGCGCCACCGTGCTGCCCAAATAACAACAACAACAACAACAACAACAACAACAACAACAATAATAACAATAATAATAATAATACATAGTCAGGTAGTGGGCAGGACTGAAAATGGGTGATAAAGTGAAATATTAGCTGAAGTTCAAAGAATACAAGTGGTACACCAGTGTCCCTCGATTTAAATAATGTTTGTTGTTTTTTAGATGTTTTTCTGGACTGGTATTGAAGAGGGGATGAAGTAAATAATGTTTCTGGGCATGATATACAAGTGGAGTTACACTGGAGAACAGCAGAGGTTATTTAGAGGTTATTTCCTTAGATAGAAAACTTTACTAATTGGCTTTTAATCTATGTGAATGTTCCTGTTCTGAGCCCTGAGATAACTTTGTTGTGAATTGATGCTATATAAATAAACTGAATTTAAATGAATGATTTATTTTTATTTTTGCATGTGTGTGGCTACACACCAATATGGACGTAGGCACCTTATTTGTTAAAGTTATCATGCTCACAACCTGCACAGCTGGATGGACAAACAAATCGAGGGTATTTCCATTTCCCCCTCCTCACTCCATGACAGGCAACAAAACAAGACCTTGAGAAAATTTAGAATACTACTAATCAAGATCTCTTAAAATTATTATAAGAAAGTATTTTTCCTAAAGTTTAACAAAGTAAAGTTAAATTCTTCAAACCCTGCGCAGTAGTCTAGTTAAAAGTTGACACGTGTTTTATCCAGTATACTGTATATAAAACATGTCATTTAGGCATCCCTGTAAACGTAAAGCAAGTTTTAACCCATATCTTTCGGATCAGACGACCATGGCTCAGGAGTGCACTGATCCACATTTCATGTGTATGTGCACGTTCATTATACCAACCCTATAATCCATCGCCTTCCCCCTCCTCCTGTAAGCCAGAAATAGTTCTCTGTGTCATCTTCAAGGATATTCAAATCCCTTCAATGAGCACTGACTCTATGAGGAGTAGAGAGAACAGGCTGCTGGGAGGCGGGGCTTAAAGTCAACGAATAAGGCTTCTTTTAATAAAAACATACATCGAGCTTTAAATGGAATCTATTTCATATCTCATGGGAAAACATCACTTTTTAATAGCAAATTACAGTCAGTTCTTCAAATTCAAGCTTGTTTTTCAAATACAGTTTCTTGCTGCTGTTCTTGAGTCAGACAACTTCAAATTAAAACCAGTATTGAGCATCACTACATTCATCTTCACTACATTGTCCTGGAGCAGCTGCACAAGAAGCAGGAACTCTGTCCAGAGCATCACGTTTTATATCATAACCTCCTGAGACCCAGGGATTTTTTATTTTTTATTTATTTAATTTAATTTAATTTTTTTCATATCAATCAAAGTTTGGGATGGTAAAAATCACATTGTAAAACATTTTTTGTTTTTACCAATTTTTACTTAAATTTGACAACATGTGCACTTCAGTTCACATCAGGACTTTGTTGTTCGCAATTGTGAAACACTAACAAATTTCAAGGGCTGATTATGAAAATTGAAAGCTCCACAAAATATTTGTAAACAGAATATTAAAGCATAGTAAACATTTGGTGGCTCGGTTGGTAGAGTTGTTGCCTCTCAGAGAGAAGGTCGCTGGTTCAAATCCCGGCCTGGGGCCTTTCTGGGTGGAGTTTGCATGTTCTCTCCGTGCATGTGTGGGTTTTCTCCAAGTACTCCAGTTTCCTCCCACAGACCAACATACATGTGAGACTGATGGTAACTCTAAATTGTCCCTAGGTGTGAGTGAGAGACTGAATGGATATTTGTCTCATTTGTCTCTATGTGTCCCTGTGATGGACTGGAGACCTGTCCAGGTGTCCCCGCCTCTCGCCCACTGACCCCCGTGACCCGAAAAGAAAGCAGCAGGTACAGATAATGGATGGATGGATAAAACATAGAACAGCAGCTCATGTTCTAACTTAGAACCAACATAGAACTCATGGACTTTTCAGTAGCTTTAGACCACTGGCCTAGGAACAACCGATTACACCGGACCTTTTGTCTCACAAAAGTCCAATCATTTATGATACGTTTGGCACTTCACACATCTCAAATATGTTTTCCTTTTGCACCCAGGCATTCTGCAGCTAAAAGGCCTTGGACAGTTAACCATTTCAGGCAAGTGGGCTGCACCATATTTTCTTATTCTCTCATCTGGATCAGGCTACCGTTTCCTGATCCCTGGGAGAACTCCACATCACTCCAGTCATTCAGGTCTTGTTGACATGTCTGTCCCTCGGCCAAGAGGAGCTGGAACTCCCAGTATTGGGAGGTTTTCTCGCAGCTCATTGCAAGGCCTGACTGTCTTGTTGGTACTGAAGGCACACATTTGTGATAGCTAAATCAATTGAGTATGGTTCGAACAGTCTACTTCTTGGTCCGGCTGGACATTCTGTAGAAGTTGAGCATGTGATCACATGTTAACCCCTCCCATGTTGGTGTTATATTCTGCACCCTGTTTCTTTTTTCTCAGAATTACAAATCACAGATCTCTACATGTTGGTTTTGGCCTGAAAAGGATGAAGACACATAGATACTGGCCCTGTGTCTTTGTCCACTACGTCTGGCTCTGTATTTTGGTCATCCTCATCTGTAGAGTCAAGTCAAGTCAAGTCATCTTTATTTGTAGAGCACAATTTAAAACAGATAAACTGTTATCAAAGTGCTTAACAGAAATGTAGCAAAACATAGGCAGCAAACCAAAAACATCATACAGAATTAAAATTACTGGAGCAATAACACACACTAATGATCACACTAAGGAAAAACAAGCAGTAAAAATAAACGTCAATCATAAAACAACAGAATTTAAAATGAGGTACACAGAACAAAATAAACTAACTCACACCGTATTAAACGCCAGAGCAAACAGGTGCGTTTTAAGGAGGGATTTGAACATCAGGAGGGAGGAAGCCTGCCTGATGTTGAGGGGCAGGTTGTTCCACAGGTTGGGACCTCTGACTGAAAAAGCTCGATCCCCTCGGAGCTTCAGGCGTGATTTTGGAACGACCAAAAGAAGCTGGTCCGATGATCTCAGGGCCCGAGACGGAACATATGGTTCCAGGAGCTCGGAGAGGTAGAGGGGTGCGAGGCCATTTAGGCACTTATATGTCAGGAGGAGAATCTTGAAGTCGATTCTGGATCGCACAGGAAGCCAGTGAAGGGAGGACAGAACAGGTGTGATGTGCTCAGACCTACGTGTACCAGTTAAAAGCCGAGCAGCTGCATTTTGGACGAGCTGGAGACGTGAAATGGACGCCTGACTGACCCCAGCATAAAGTGAGTTACAATAGTCCAGGCGGGTTGTGATGAAGGCATGGACTAATGTTTCAAGGTTGGGTCTGGATAACACTGGCTTGAGCTTAGCTACCTGCCGCAGTTGGAAAAAACTTTTCTGCAGAACTGAACTGATCTGTTAGTCAAACTTAAAATCCGAGTCAAAAACCACCCCAAGATTTCTAACAGTGTGCTTGAGATAGGGCTGAAGTGAGTCCAGGTTTGCAGGATCTGAGGAGGCAGCTGAGCTAGGACTAAAGACGATGACTTCAGTTTTCTGGTCGTTAAAACTGAGAAAATTTGAAGTCATCCATGCCTTAATGTCATCTAGACATTTGAGGAGAGGGTGGATGGAACGAGCACTGGCTGGTTTCAGTGGCAGGTAGATCTGGCAGTCATCGGCATAGCAATGGAATGAGATGGCATGTTTTCTTAAGATGGATCCCAGTGGGAGCAGATAGAGCGAGAAAAGAAGGGGTCCAAGGATCGAGCCCTGTGGGACCCCGCAGGAAAGAGGCACCGAAGTGGACAGACTTTCACCAACCTGGGTGTATTGAACGTGGGTGTATTGAACCGTTTCGGTACGGCATGTTAGGTTTGGTCCACGTGCGTACCATTTCAGTTATTTTTTCACTCATTAAATTTTATTAACGAGAAATTATGTGCCATGGAACTAAAGTTCCAAAGCGTGTTTCAGCACGGTGCTATTATCTTAAAGCATGCGCAGCATTAGCAGCCTAGCATTAGCAGCCTAGCATCTCGCTGCGGTCTCCTGTTGGGGAACATTATGGCTTTCTTGTTAAAAGACAAGTGTAAATCCAAAGCTGTGTGTCGACGTTGTTTCACGGAGATTGGATCTGAAGCAGCAACACGTCTAACTTGTTAACGAGCTTGAAACAACATAATTCGAATATGAACGTAGTTTGGTGCAAAGACCAATAACAGCAGCATTTAAACAACTTTTATCAGGTCATTCAGATCGGTCCAGAGCAATAACACAAGCTGTAGGAGTTTTTAAAGCTCTGGATCTACGTTTCTGTTGTTGATGTGCCGGCTTTAAAGTTCTTGAGCCTCGCTACGACATCACATCATGTCAACACTTCAGCCAAAAAGTTGTAGCAGCACTTTATGAAAAAGCTAAAACTGTTTGTCAACAAGTCCTGGACCAGATTAAAGTCCTGACCTGATGATGATGATCAAGAGAATCAACCTCCTCATAACAAATGATGACAGTTCAAGAAGAGGTATTGTTATTTTATTATTATTATCTAATTGACTTTTTTTATTTAAAATTATAATCTTATTAACTCTTTTTTTTTATCTCTTTGTGTTTTATTTCCAGTCTGTGACAGAGATAACAGCTGAGTCTTCTTCCTCTTCAGGGAAATCAGCGGTCACCTCCAGCTAAGAAGTGTGTGATGAGTGAACTCTGAACTTTTCCAGGGACCTGTCCCGCCTGTGGGAGCAGGTCCAAGAGGTTGTGAGTAATGAGGCCAAATACAGCCACACTGCAAAATTATCAAAGCTCTACCTCTTTATTCCTGCTACTGTTGTTAGTGAGCGGGTTTCTCCACCGATGGAGATATTCACTGCAACTAGATCTGTGCTTTTGGCAGAAAATGTGGACAAGTTGGTCTTTTTGACCAAAAACTTAAAACTTGATTAGTTAGATTGTAAACAGTCTGTTGCTGCTTATTGTTCTGCTTCTGACTGTTATTGTATTTATTAAGATTTTCATTATTGTTAGTATAGTTTATTTATTGTAAAGAGTGCTGTTTATTTAAAATATCATCAAAATGGGTTGCTTTTATTTATTTTTATACAAACATATTGTTTACTTGTCATATTTTCAAAATAAACATTTTGTAAGTCTTTATTTTGGCCTTTTTTTTTTTGTGCCGAAAATGAACTGAACCAAGCCCTGCTTGAAACTGAACCGAACCGAAATGTGATTTTAGCGTACCGTTACACCCCTACTCATCTGATTCCACATGTGAGTCCTCACCACTCCTGTCTGTCTTATTGGACTCTCATCTTCTGAAAGATCAATGTCTGAATTTCCCTCAGTGATTCTGTACATGATGTTCTCCTGTTCTGTCAAAGAGCTGTCTGCTAAAAAATGGTGAAAAAACACAAGTACAAAGTGCTGACGTGCACTACAGTACACATGGATAAATTAGTCTTTTTCCTTATTAAGCAAATTAGGTTTAATTTTGAAGAGTCAATAAAATTACTTATTAGATGTTTATTTTAAAAAAATATTCAAAACAAAAAGGTAAAAAACATTCTAAATATAAATATCGGGCTTACTTTCTGTCTTCCATAAAATGAGCTGGTTTTTATGCCAGCCATTTTTAAAAGACAGGAAAAGGAAACTTCCAAAGATCACACCCCCACACGCATGACATCATTTTAAAGCTACAGTTGTCCTCTAAAAGCAACATCAGGACTTTGTAGAGTGGCAAATGTAGAATGGGAGATACAAGCTAAACAAAAATGTGTACTACAGTACACAAAAATGAATTGCTGGGTTCAGGAGGATATATCAGTTGGTAGTACTTTATCAATGATGGTGTCAAATGAAGAAAGACTAAATATCTTGTTCTTTAACCATTTGGCATCAGATCAGCCCTCTTTGAAACTGAACCTCCAACACAGACACAGGAGTGATGACCGAAAGAGAAAGAATAAAGGCTGAACGAAATCTGAACGTACGAGTAGGCGATGTTGAACCCAGTCAGGTTGTACGCAGCGTCACTGAAGAAGTGGAGCAGGGCGTATCCTGATGTCGTCACCACCTCAGGTACCGTCTCACGTCCTCCGGCTTCAGGAACCACTAGACCACTGAGAAAGAACAGTCTACTTGAAACCCTTAGAAGTCTCTGGTTGTCACACGTCAATCATTTTGTGCCTACAGTTTTGTGTAGGAGCCATTTTCAGTTGTCCCTGTTGGACTCTGCATCCAGCAGAATCTTGTGTTTTTGGAATCAGATTCTCACCGTGGAAGTGCCAAATAGAGCAAACAAGTCAAACAACCATTCACACTCTCACTAACACATCGGGACAGTTTAGAGTTATCAATGAACCTGTTTGTGTGATCTGTTTCATTAGTATTACTGTTAGCACTGTGTACAGTACAAACTGTCTATCTACTATGTGTGTACTGGATGTGTACTGTGTATGTATTGTGTGTATACTGTTATTGTACTGTACATATACTGTTAGTGTACTTGTGTACTGTGTATGTTCTCTGTGTGCACTGTATTTACTGTGTGTGTACTGTTTTTATATGTGTGTGTTTGTACTGAGTATGTACTGTGTAAGTATTACTTTTGTACTTTGCATGTACTGTTGTTGTACTGTCTATGCACTGTTTATTTACTGTATGTGTACTTTGTACATGCTGTCTTTGTACTGTGTGTGTACTGTGTTTGTACAGTCTATGTATGATTTGTGTACTGTGAAGAGAGCTGTAATTTGTAAATATTTAGCCAGACTTATAAATGTCTACGTCTTTGTCTAGATCCAACAATTTTCAGTCAGGTCATCTGGACAGTTTCTTTTTTTGCTGAAACATTTCACCTTCAGGCTTCATCAGTCAAGGAAACACACAACACAAAACTGATTCTTCCCCCAAACAGCTTACTCCAAAGTGGAACAAACCAGTTGTGTTGGTGCTAAGATGGTGTCTTTGGCACGCCCCCTCCTCCGATGTCGGCCCTCTTCCTCGTCGACAGTCATGTCAAACTGGTTCAAAACCAACAAAGTCCATGCTCAATAATCCAGGTATACAATCTATCCAGGTATACAATCTAAATAAAAGACCTGACTGAAAATTGTTGGATTGTATACCAGGATTATTGAGCATGGACTTTCTTGGTCTTTGTCTAGAGCTGCTAGAGGTTTAGCCAATCAGATGGCAGAATAGTAAGCTTGTTGTTTCAGTGCTTGTGCATCGGTACTTTTAAACATGAAACGGTTTTAGAAGCGTTATTGTATTTGGTAAACTTTAACCAGAAAAATCATTGTAATGAACACTTTAATTAGTGATATGTGCTGCTGATTATCCATGCAGCTGATTTCTTACCCATAAGCTGTTATATTCATACCCATCTGCTCACAACAGACTCATGTTCAGGCTGCTGTTTAATAAACTGTATTATATATTGTTTAGAGTATATCTTAGATCCTTGTAAAAAAAAATTCTTCTTTTATATACTTTATATTTTTGCTATTTTTGGGTGTAACTGGGACCTAGTTGCACCTCATGTACCACATGTGATGTGAATGACAATAAAGAACTTTGAACCTTGAACCTATTATACTTATTTTCTAAGAGTTTGTCTGAAGCTGCTGGAGGATTATCCACTCAGTCAGCAGAATAGTACGCTTCTTGCTTCAGTGTTCATGCATCGGTACTTTAAATATGAAACAGTAAAGAAGTGTTGTTGTATTTGGTAAACTCTGAGCCCGCTCAGAGCTTCAGGGTAACAGGAACATCCAGTGAGCAGCTGCAGTCTGTACTGACACGATGACAGTGATTAGCTTTAAACAAACACTCTGCACTGCAGAGGCACCACTCATTTTATTATGCTTGTTGATTTCTCCTGTGAGGATTAGCAGTGCATCCTGTGCTTGGCCAGTAACGTCTAGTGTTTTTACTGCTCTGCACCATTGCACCCTTTAAGCAGCTACACATTTTTTATATTCATTGTATTGAACCTCATTCCCTCCAGGTGATATCGCTGCAGGCTTTGTATAATTAGGTGTCAGGTGTCCAATTTTCCAGTTTAAGGGCTCAGCTGAATTTTTAATTAAAGATAAACTCCTGTAGGTGCATGAATCACCAAGATATTATTGTGTTTTAATGAATTTGTCTGAAACTAAAAGAGGCTCTTCACATATTTACAGGCAAAAACAGCAACATTTGCAACAAAGCTCCTTAAGAAGCTGCAGCGTTCAGAGATAATGTGACTAATGGCCATATTTTCTTTCCATTAACGCTGTATTGTGGAACGGCTGTAATTATGAAGCCCATTGTTTGGCTTTACGTTCATCCATTTGCTTGAAGAAGTGTACATATTGCAGCTGTTGACTGCTACCCGAGCAGTTTGCGTATCTCCTCCTTGTCCATTCGATGTAGCAGCCTCTCACCTGAAGACAGCAATCAAGGGGGCGTAGATGGAGTCCCCGTCGTAGACGTACATGTGGTCCCAGCTGCACTCGGTGGCAAAGTGACTGAAGCGCAGTCGGAGTGCCGTGTCAGGGCTGCAGGAGAGCACAAAGAGCTGATTGATGTAGGTGCTTTTGAAGGCAGTTGATGTTTTTCAAACACGTCCAGACTATCTACAGGTCTGAAACTCAAAGTCAACATCAGCTTTCACTGTACTGAAGTTCACATAAAGCCTAACCTTTGACATCTGAAACATGCATGACATGTTCTAGATCACAAACTGATATCAGAACCTTAATGATAAAGGACATGTAAGATCCTGGCTGATGTGACATCTATATGTGTATCAAAGTTTGTTGAAAGATCTTGAGTGGATTTGAAATTATTGGGGCGACAGGAGACAGTTTATTAGATTGTACCTGAAAATGTTCCTCCATCGACAGGTGTATATAATTACATATCTTTGAGTTTTGAATGGTTTATTTTAACAAGCGGTCCAACGATGTCCCCCGTCTCTGAGGGATCTGAATAGTGAATGTTTGTAGTTTTGGAGATGAGTGTTTTTCTGGACAAGAATTCAACAGAGAATGTAAATGGACTGTACATATACAGTATTACACCTTTCTATCTTATCAAGATACTCAAAGTGCTTTACACTACAATCTGTGCCTCATTCACCCATTCATACAGCACTCTACTAGATCTCTACAAAACCAATTGAACAAATCATTCTAAAGAGACTAATCATGCTTTATCACATTCATACACTGATGGGACACACATCCGAGGCTATGAGGGGTTCAGTGAGTTGCCCAGGAACACTTTGGCATGTGGCTGCTGGTGGATTTGAACCCCCAACTCTTGCATTGGAGGACGACTGCTCTAACCACTCAGCCAAAGCCGCCCCTGTGAGTAAGTAAATAAGTAAACCTACATGTTTTTGGTGCAAGATATTCTGGTTCGTATGGGTTACAATATAGAGAATAATAGAGTGTTGTTGTTTTTTTTTTGTTTGTTTACTTTGCTTTGTTTTGTTTCTTCTTGTCCAAGTCATCATAGAGTGATTGATCCTGGTGAGTGGAGGGAGCAGTTTTATCCACCACCACTCCCTGTCGATGGATGGATGGATGGATGGATGGATGGATGGAAGGAAGGAAGGAAG